TTTTCTTGCCACTTTGGTCCATTCTTCTTTCCATTATTGCTGTGGTATGTTAATGATTGATGCCACCACAGGTTGAGATTTGGACTTTGACTAGGCCGTTACAAATCCTCGGGTCTTCTCCATATCTGCTGTTATCTTTACAGTTTGCTGTTGTAGTGTTGATGACCCATTTGGGCCAAGCTTCATCTGTCAAATGCTCGATTCAATGGCTGTACAATTTGAATGTAGTGTGGCTGCAAGACGAACCCATATCATCCTCCCTCCACCACTGGGCTTGATGTTTGGTTGTGTTTGCTACTACTAAACATCTTTCTTATGGTTTCTTCTGTCGAAACGACATTGTTCTGGTTCATTCTGATGCAGCTCTGTTGATGTAAGTCATGTTGATATATTCTTATGTGACAAAACAGGCTTTATGCTCAAGTGCTTCCAAATTTGTCTTTTTCCCAGAACTTGTTGGGATTTTGGACATTTCCCTTAGCATTGGATTGAGTTTTCCAGGACATACAGTCTTTGTAAAGTTCTCTGCTGTTTATAAGATTATCTTTAAACCACTCTCCTTTATCAGGACTGAATGACGTTCAGTTTGTGTTGTAAGTCAGCAACAGGAAACATGCATTTGAAGTAAAACACTGAAAAAACTGCTGATTTCATTGTTGTTAACTTTAAACTAAGTTGGGATCCCAGCACAAAGCCCTGGGTAACACCAAAACTTATTCTGTAGTTTTGTGTGTTTTAATTTCAGATGAACTGGTGAGATGTCAGATGGTTTTTTTGAAAAAAATCTTTCTAGGATCCCATCCAATATACATGGCCAGTAGCAGCTGCTTCTCTTAGCTCATGCTTTGACACAATAAAGGTCTTTGTTTTTGTTTTTTAGGTGATCCAACTGAGCATTATCAATTCGTGGATTTAATTAGCAAAAATAGTCTAAATAGCAGAACTGGTCCTATAGAGCAAGTATAGGTGTACCTTTTTTTATTTGTTCACTTGACTTAAACATTTTTTTACAGACTGATTGAAAGCTGATTAATCTTGTATGTTGTATAATGTAAAGTTCACAATTTTAATGTACTCTTCTATTTAAATAATGTATTTCTCCAAAAGGTTTGGGGTTCTTTGCCACAAGTTTTTTTTTTTTTTTCTCGTTCTGTCCTAATTTAAAATAAGTTATTTATCAGCTTCACCTCTCAAATGGTTATCTGGATGGATTTTTATTCTGCTCACATTTAGAGCACTTGATGAGGCAGAACAGCCTGCTTTGAGATGCCACCTTACTGAGGCTCCGGCGTTATTAGGACCTTCTGAAAAGCCACTGAACTATCTAAAAAATGCAAAAACTAGCTCAGACCCGGGCTGTATCTCCCATTCATTAAAATGTGACATTTTAAAGATGATTTCACAGGACATAGAGGCAGCGTGGAAGTCTCTTCACCTGCTTGACCGTGACTTTTTTTCAGGCTTCATATTCTTTTTTTCCCCTTCCTGATCTGTATTTTTCCTCCTCTTCTTCTGATAATTATTATTGCTGCAGTTAGCCCTTTAGCACATCCTCTTGAGAATGCCACCCACGCATTTTCTCTGCACCTAATGAGAGGCAGAGCATGTGACAAATATGCCTCAGAGAAAACTTTCATCAGAGTTTTCGATGCGGTTCAAAGTGCACTTCTGTGTCCCGACCCGTAAAGTTTCTTATTTGTTATCTCCTCCCAGGCTTAATGTGTCGTATCAGAATTGGAAATTGCTCCGGCCAAGTTGGCAGCGTGCGGAAAACCTAAATCGAGGTTTTCAGAACTTTTCTGTGGAAAACGAACGGTTTACGTAGCCAAATCTGCAGCCTTATCTTTCTGCTTTTTAAAGCCAAGTTTGAAACATTTGTCAGCTTGGAAATGAGCAATTTTGTCTAAAATCATCATAAAAATTGAAAAGCATCTTTTAATGATCTGCATACAATCAGATCTTTATTTCAGCTCATTATCTCATTCAGTTAGAGCTTTAAATGTACAAGTGATCGATGATTTAACAAAATAAGAACTGGGTGCAGAAATGAGGCTGTTGATCAATATGCTCAAATGTTTTCATACACCCCATTAATGTTTGGTTAAACATCTATAGAAATGAACAGGCTTCATAATTCTGACAGAATATTTGATTTTCTTCCTGTTTAAATTCATTAACACAGGATTGGCTTTTAAGTAAAGTAAGTAAGATCATTCATTTCCAACATGATCACAGCTTAGTAGCAAAAACCTGTATAATAATATCTACCTCTTGATTTCAGTAGATTTGATATAATTTTATTATAGATTAAGAAAAATGAATAAAAGCCTCAAACAGCCATTTTATCTCTGCTATTGGGCATGAATTTGCCCTATCGGGGATTGATAAAGTATCTATAATAAATCTATATAGAATTAAAAAACACTTCAAAGAAAATCTGAACTAACTTTTATCAATCGCTTAACCAAATTCCAATCCAATCAAAACACATTTATCCCTGAATTTCAGTTAGTAAAAAATGCTGTAATTATAAATTAATATATATTGAAATATCAGAAAAGCCCAATCACTGTTATTAAATAAAATAATATTGAAATAGATATATTTCTATTGAATTAGGGTAAACCATTCAGAACTCCAGTTATTTCCATTTTATTTTCTGTTTTTGTTTTGTCATCTGTTTCTTTTTCAAACAGGTAGGTGAGTTAAGAAAAACTTATTTAGGAAGACGACTTCATTTTGGAGCATCAAATTTTAACCATCGGGTGAAAACTGCCCTAACCTCTAGATAAAAGGAAAGTGGCAGCAGTAAAGCACAGTAGAGGGAGCATCATGCTGTGGGGTTCTGCAGTTGTCAGCAGCATTATTGAATAAAGCGGAGGGCATCATGACCAAATACTACTTCAAAACCTTTTAACTTAACCAATGAAAGCTAGACAACTGAAAAATGGACACACCTGGTTGTTTCCCAAAAAAAAAAAACATGAGCTGTTTAGGAAAACTTCTCAGCTTTAAACCCTGCTGTCTGTGAACGGTTTAAAAGTTTAGTCCAGAGGAAGAAAACCAACAATGCCACACATGCACCATTTTACCAGAAGTATTGGGTCACTACACCAAACCAATGAATTCAGACGTTCCATTCACGTTCATGGCTACATGTGTATGAAGGTTGGTTTGGAGAAACTTGACTTGCTTTTGGAAAGCCTTTGGGTTTAATTAGAGCAAATACTGCAATTCTGGTTTCCTCATCTATGAGAAGATGTTTACAGAAATGTTACAGCTGCTTTTGGTGGAAACTGGGGCGCATCAACAGATATGTCCCTATAGATTAAAACAGGACGTCCTCAAAGCTCGTGTAGATCTAAAAATAGACAATACTTTTGGTCAGATGTTATATGTACATCATTTTGAGAACAAACCTGTCCGCATTCCAAGTTGTTAACCCAGGTCCTGTTTTCATTTGAAGTAGTTTAATCATTAAAGTGGTAGGGAAGTCATATTTAAATGTCAAATCATTCTGGCTTAAACATGTATATAAATGTACTCTTTATTAGACCATATTGTCCCAAAATTTAGAAAATCTGTCCTAAAATCTGCGTTTTTTTTCCGTTATCTTATGCAGGCCAGCTAGTTATACGTCAGCTTGTACGCCTAAATTCGGCCAATCATATCAACGGTCATCTGTCAATCACATTTTTTCAGTCATAGCATCTTGATTAATGTACGTAACGGTCGAAATAAGAATCATTTCCTTTCCCATTGAGTTCCGTCCCAGTGTTCATAGGGATGGACGTCTGTGTCTTCGGCAGGCGTAGAGCTAACAGAACTGGCAGCGTTGCGAGGCAAGGGCTCAAACATGTACAGCTGTAAGCCTTCTACACCAAACCAAGCTTCTGCCGCCCTGGCGTCCTCTTCTACAACAACTTTGTCCCCACTTTCCTCCTCTAAATAAAACGTGTGACGGAGGAGACTCATCCACGACCTCCCACACAAAACTCTCCTCCTCTTGCATGTTTCCGCTGTCCATAGCGCTCCTTGACAATGTCGTTACCGTCACAAATTTAGTGCTAATTGGTCTTAATGTAATTTCTCATTGGGAACCTACTAGCACTAAGTTGCTAACTGGTTAGCACGATGCTTCCGACAAACCGGCCACAACCAAACTTGCTTGCGAACCTTCGGCCACAACAATCCTGCCCCCTTGATAATCGACCAATCACATTCACTTTATTCATTCGTGTAAAATCGGGCACCGATCGGGAGAATTCGGAAATCCAACGGTTGGAACAGGCGCTTCCCTACGACTTTAAAGAAAGGTTACGGAACAGTTCAGGTAATCTATGCTGGTGAAGATTCTCAGTCATCCAGGTTATATTCATTCCAAAACAGTTTAAAAAATCCACTGGAATTTGATTTCCAAGTTTGAAGACGTTTCGCCCGGGAAGCTTTTTTAAATTAAAAAAATCTGGATAGTGTTGACTTATATAGAGTAGCCCAACAAAGCCTTGTTATGGCTTAGAAAACATGCAAGTTGGACCGCAAAAACAGGTCCATCCCTTAAGAACGAGGAGTCGTTCAGGTAATATTTTCAAGCCCATAATAGGTGTATTCAAACTTCTGCACATTCATGGTTATATCTCATTCATTCTTATTGTCTCTAATGCCTGATTTTATAGATTTCATTCAGAAGTGTTTGCTTGCAATTAAGCAATCAAATCTAACACCTATTGGGCCGAATGCAAACAAACCCAATTAAATCTTCCTCGTTATTAGTGAAAATTCAACACAGGAATCATTTAATTGCAACATCTGACCTAAAACACAGCCCGACACCTGCTTTGAAAACTACCGATGGTGTAATTTGTGTCTTAATTTGCCTCCTTCGCCCTGTTGGAGGCCGACCCCGTCCCTTCACACCTCTTTCCCTTTTTATCTGTTCTCCTTGGTTGACTTCTCTTTTGTCCCACCCCTCCTCTCTCCATCTCTTTCCCCGTTCCCAGATAACTTCCCACAGATGGCTCATCAGAAGCGCTTCATTGAGCGGAAATACCGTCAGGAGCTGAAGGAGATGAGACGGGAGCGAGAGCGTCAGGAAAAGGAGACCGACGAGGCGGCGGAGGGCAGGAAGTGACGACGCCTCGTTTGGTGGATCAAGGAGCAGAAAAGTGGCAGCAGTTCAAGGGAGAGTTAGTGAAGACGCGGTACTGCAGGTACTGAGATGCTGTTAGGAGTCAGAGAGAGAGATGTCATGTTTGACTCTTCAACTGTCGCCTTCTTGTTTTCTAAAACTATGGTTGGAAAGTACTTTTCAGAAATGTGTTACAGAAACAAACCAACAATAAGAAATAAAGTTTTCATAAAATTGAATATGAGATGTTAAATAAATAAAGTTTTAAAATGAATCACCAGCAATCTGCTTTTATTTACTTCTGATGAGACAAAAACTCTAAAGAGGGTCGATTACACCAACAGTGTCACCATCTGCTACTTATCTGCCAATAATAATAATAAAAAGTTTTCCACCCTTCATTCATTTTTTTAATCATCTCACTTGAGATCCAATTGGCTGTCTCACTGATCTTAATTATAGATTGTCTAATTAACAATTTCCCCGGCTCTGTCGCCTCTGGATCTAGCTATTTAACAACGGCAGACATATTAATAACTTATCTGTGTTAGAGTTGAGTCTTTTATATTGAGATTCATTACGGATAAAGCGTACATACCTGTGAGGGCTGGAGAGTGTCTGGTGTGCTTTTGCCTGCGGCTGCCGTCACATTTTTCAAATTAAAGTTTCCATCCGTCAGAGTTGTCTGTTTGGCAAGAAGACCTCATTGAGACGGACTCATTTTAAACATATTTAATCGTGTCATATAAATATTCAGTACAAAATATCACGGTTTACAAAGCAGAGTGATGAATGGCCGGTCACGTCGGGCCCCCCTTAGACTACCACTAGTTCTCGGATCGTTTCTACATAAACAAAACGTGACTGCTGAACCACATTGCCACCGACAGAGTTATAGCATAGAAGAGGCGAGGCCCGAGGGCAACCTCGTCTGCACATCAACAACCACAGATCTACTGCATCCGCACTTCAGTGTTTCCAACAAGTTCCCTCAGAAAGAACCTCACACATTGGAAACTAAAAATAAAAAAAGTGGTGTGGCTCATTATTATGGAGGCAGTTTCATTCGTTGTAAAAACACAAACAGTTCTCAGTGTTGGTGATATGCTTATACCCCGGATGAAAACAGCAAATATGAAAACCAAAGGGGACACTTAGAGATTCTGAGCTGTGTGGTGTAAATCACGGACAAACTGGAGCCGAAAGCCACAGCTCTGTTAAAACCAGCTAGTTATCCTTCTGATTTTTAGCTAGCCTTAATAACGGAGCAACCAGAAATGTTGACAAAATAAGAACCGTTTGTCTAAAAAAATTTATTTGTTTGTAGGATCTGACTACCAGACTTGATGAATGTAAACTGCTAACACAGCTAGCTTTAGGTTGCTAGTCACTTTCAACATGTGAAAGAGCCAAATCATTAGCATGTTGAAAGCTAATAAATTAGCAGAACTAGCATTAGGAATGTGCTATGGTTTGCACTGTAATTTTTGAGTCTAGCAAGGAAGTCAGTAACATGGTTTTATTAGCAACTGCCTCGACGTTATAATGATAATATATGGATAATAATAACAGAACCAACCAAAAAGTCATTTTGTATCTAGGAAATTGTTCAAAACAGTACAGAGAAACATTGAAAGGCTAATTGTGTGCTATCTGGATGCTAATTAGTATAACCTGTAAGCTGGATAGTGCTAAGTAATAATTGTAATGCTAATGATGCTAATTCCTAGTACCGTTATGCTAAAGACCAGCTTGAAATTGTGACTGTTATTAACCTTCTCCCTTAAAATGATCAACAAAAAGGAAAGTCTACTGGACCACATATAAAAAGACTCGTAGCTCTTTGTCTGAATAGCTGTCCCAGTTTAGATTGAGCAAAGGGAGATGTTGCTAACTTTGAGTCGTGTTAGAAGAGCTCTTCTGCACATAAGATTACGTTACCATCATAAGACCGACACACTGAAATATTCTCAGTTTTTGTCTTAAAATGCTAGCTAACAAAACAGAAGATAATTCAACTTTTTTTCCTCAGGGGTTCTGATTAAATACTTGCTGATTACGATCATCATTAGCATGTGTACATTTAATGCGGAAAGCATCATTAGCATGTACGTGTTGGTGATAACGTTAACATTTTGTGTCTGCTATAACATATTCATTGTTTTAACTGTGCATTTCTACGACGGAGTGTTAGGGCCAAGCTAGAGATTTTTTTTCCCTACTATTTTGAGAATAAAGTTGTAAAATTACGAGAATAAAGTCGTAACATTACGAGAAAAAAGTCACAACGAGAATAGTCCTAATTTAGTAAGAGATGAAAGTCCCAATATTATGAGAAACAAGTTGTATTTTATGACTACTCCTGCAAGAAACATTTTATTCATTAAAATGCGGAATGTAGAGCATAATGTGAAGTTATACTTTGGCCCTGGTTTGATAAATAAGGAAATCTTTGGGCACATCAACATCAAATTGGGCAATTTGTCAAACTTGAGTCAGGTTGCTAGTGCTGATCAGCCGTCATATGCTGGTCGCAGCTTGAAACTTTCTTTCTGAAACAGGTTGTGGTATCATGACTTCATTCTTGTAATATTACAACTTTATTATCGTAATATTATGACTATTCTAGTAATGTTACGACTTTATTCTGGCAATGTTACAACTTTATTTTCTCGTAATGTTACAAATTTGTTCTCGTAATATTACGACTTTGTTCTCATAATATTACGACTTTATGCTGGTAATGTTACAACTTAATTCTCTTAATTTTACGACTTCATTCTCGAAATAGAAGAAAATAAAATCTTTAGCCTGGCCCTAATATTCCGTCATACATTTCATTGCAAGAATCTAATCCAATTTTGATTTTTAGATTTTCAAATTGGCAGACTCAACTAGAACACCTTTTTAAGTCAAAGGTTTCTTTAGCACCCGGGCTTCAAAAGCCAATATGGCCGCCATATTCATATAGCAGTATTAGCGGCAATAATGAGCTACATTTCCATTCTAAACACAAATCTGCCATATATGGTATTGGACTGCCTGTTATTAAAGATTTAGCTTCAGTAAATGAATCGCAGATGTTCATTGGCATGTGTTGCTAACAGCAGATGACTGTTTTTATTTTTAACTGTTACATTGACCAAAGAGTTATATTGATTAGATTTATAAAAAAATAAAAACCATGATACTGTTAGTTTTATCTTGGTAAAAGCTAATTATCCTTTTGTTTTCTGCATGCTGTAGATGATTTCCTTTACATTTTCACCTGAGGTCGTTGGGACAACAGTATGTGATGCCAGCTTTTCATTGGTCACCACTGGTTGCTGAGTTATCAGGGTTAGCCTGAACTATCTATAAAATAAACCTCTAGCTCTGTGTATTTAGCCTAGGCGCTAAATAGAGTTCAACTATTTTCTTGGAGGCGGACAAACAGATTTGGTGCAGTGATGGCCCTTTGAAGTGTTGATGACTTCATGCTTATCATAGCAACACTGCTTCAGCCTGAAAACTCACAATGAGAAGTTCAGAGGAAAGCAAATAAACAAAAGAGCGCACAGCTCTAGTAGCCTCTCATAGTTTTCCAGCCTCTATAATCAGCCAGTGTGTTTAATAGACTGCAGCATTACAGATGGAGAGAAGAAAGTAGCTCTGTGGCAATTATGCCATGGTGTTATTTCTGTTCTAAATGTCTGACAAATGTCAGCCTCTTCACAGGTTGGCCTTTTGTTAAAGCGAGGGCAGAGCATGTTGTACCCATGTTTTTTTTTTTTTTCTGTTTCTGCTGATACGTATGACTTTGCCCTCTCAGAAACGGACACAAGGCTGAACTCAGAGCTGTTTACTCATCTTTAGGAGGTCCTCAATGAACTCTGTAACGCTGCAGCTCTAGGATGGTTTTCCTTTGTTTCATAAATCGCATTTAAAGCGAACCTCTCGTGTGTCCTCGTCGATGCGCTGACCTTCTCCACGAGCCGAGGACAATCTTCTGGGTTTAAAAGCCTAATTCTGCTCCGCTCAAAGGTCAGGTGCCCCTTCGATAAGCATCTTTATGGAGGAGGCTGGAGGTCCCGCAGGAAATCAGCTGGGTAAAGCCGAAGCGTTTGCTCTGGCTCCGGAGCGAGGTACAGTGCAGGTAATTAGGACTGCAGCCATGGGAGGCGTTTTGTAAAGGAAAATACTGGTGATCTTTGCTTTTTGGCACATCTCTATTGCGCAACCGCCTGAGCAGGGCAAACAGACTCGCACGACACTGTAGATTTTCTTTCTTGCTTTCAATGATCTAGAGGGCAGCAATTTTTAATTTTGAGGGGAAACATTCATCAAATATTTTGAATCATTCTGACTTTTATATCAAAATAAAAAAACACTTTATAATAGAAAAGACTCCGTAAATTCAGGATAGATCAATTTACTAAAGAGTTCCACTTTCTTTAAATATCTCAACTTTGTAGAGACCTACCAGCTCCACCTGCTCCTTGTTACATCATTAAATCTTCATTGTTACAATTTCAGTCTAACAATGAAGTTTAATAGATTGACTACACAGAATGATGTCTTTGCAATGTTTATTTCTGTTAGCCAATAAGAAAAATGTAGTTTATACCAATAAAAAAGGATGTTTGAGACAGAAATGGCCTACAGATGAGAACGTTCACTAACACTAGCAGTGTTTTTCAGACTCTAATTTTCAACTGAAATTCAAAGTTATCTGTTAGGAAGGGATGCGGAGCACCAAGTATTGGTCAATCAGGTCTTTAGGTCAGGTAAGAATCTAAATCATAATCCTTCATAGCTACACTTTTCCCTTTGGGCTTCTGCATTTATCCCTCTATCATGTTTTCCCTCCACTAAATTTTCCATTGTTTGCTATTAGTTATTTTAGCAATGACATCTTGTATCTTTGGGGATATTTTCACGTTTTGTGGGAGTGGCCACAAAACGTAACTTTTTTATTAGCCTTTATCAAAATTTAACAGAAAATGTCAAGTGTAGGTATTTATAGATTTCTTTAAATGTAATTTTCTGAAATAGAAACAGTTTTGGATCATATTCTAATCTATTAAGATGTACCTGTAGTGTAGAGTTATAACTCAGTTTCACTGAGAAGGCGCTACAGCATTTTCTTCTGTTCTAGGAGGAAGAATCAAACACCACATAAAAAGTTCTCGCCAAAGTAAAACAGGACAGTCTTTCAACTTTTTGGACCTTTTGTCTCATGAATTTAGCAAAAAAAAAACAATATTGTCTTCAGTGGATCAGAGAGAAACTGATGACATTCCTCCATATTGAGGAAATATTTGGTATTTTAACTCAAAGACCTCAGAGCTGCTTACACACAGCTTCTTGTTGAGGTTTGACAAACTGTACCTCCTGGATGAATTGAGTTGGATTCAGGTCAAACTGGAGGTGAGATAAAAAAGAAAACTGTACAGCGGATTGTATCATATAACCGTACATACACAAGCTAAGATAGAACTCACAATATGCAGCATTTAGTTTAAGTCTCAGAAACACTGAAAAATACGTCGGCATATCTGTAGGTAACCAAACTGCTTGTAGGGAGTCCGTAAGTCACAGGCAGCTTTGGAAAAAAAGAAACAACCAAATAAAATCTGTCGATATATTTGGGTCTGGTTTGGACCCTGTTTACACACACAAAAAGAGTCTTCACTGCGTCCCTGCAAAAAACGCAACTAACACTGACTGGACACACAAAGCCTACGTCTGGTCACCGGTGGGACGACAGGACGCCGCCGGCCGGTTCTTCTCAACGTTCCACCGACGGCGTGTCCGCAGGGCCAAACCGCCTGAACGTTCGGGTTTTTACGCCACGCTTTCCGTCCGTGTGCCAGGCTCTTGTTAGGAGTCGCTGTCGTCGCCGCCGTACATGTCCGCCAGCTTCTTAAATCGGGGCCCCCACTCGCTCAGGTAGTTGTAGTCCTGGTCGCCCTCGGTGGTCACCGACTCCAGCGAGCTGAGGGACTCCGCCACGGAGCCGTTTCCCTCGTAGGCGTAGGTGGCCAGCGAGTCGTAAGGCGGCGCCGTCGGGTCGCTGTCGTTATCCTGCAGCCGCTGGTTGATGAAGTCTCTCACGTTGCCGTTATTGTCCCGGCTCGGCGGCGGCACCACGGGCCGTCGAACCGGAGGGTAGAAGGTCTCGGGGATGATGTCCCGCCTCTGTTTGCTCTCCTCGATGGCCTCCGGGTTGCGCAGCGTGCAGATATCAAAGGCCTGAGTGTCCTCCTCTCCTCCGCCCTCGTCGTTGTAGCTGACGACGTTGTCCCTGACATCCTCTTTGGAGATGATCAGAGGCTCCTTCTTCCTCTGCCTCCTCAGGGCGGCGAACAGCACCACGATCACTGCAGCAGAGCAGAAACAAAGACAACTCAGACTCTCGCTCCCTCTGCTGTGAAGGCTGCTGACCGTCCACAGGGAATTGCTGTTTTCCTCCACTGATGTTCAGGGACTTTGTACATCACAATCTGGTAGCAGAGAGATGCATTATGCATCGGTTCTCGCTCAGGGCCACCACTTCTACACAACATGGAAGAACCTAGAGCATCAGCTGCAACTTAGCTTCTGAAGATCAGATGCAGGCCTCTTTGTGCTCGATCAAACATGTTTAACCATCTGATCCAGCAGAAAAAAATACAAAGGTTCCCGTCTACCTCAGTCCATGACCTGCAGTTAATAATTCCCTCTAAAAATATATCTTAATAAAAAATGACTTCAACTTTAAATTAACAAAATCACAGACAGGAAATGACACCTCAAAAAGTGTCTGATGACTAACAATGTGATCCCAACGGGTTCGCTGCAGTGATTAGGTTTTTAAAGTTCATTTTACTATTTTAAAGGAGAATCTGCTTCTAAAACGGAAACCTGATCCAGATCAGTTCTTTATCAATGTGCTGATGTGTAATACTAGCATTTATATTTTATAAAAGCCTTTAGTCTAAGCGAGCGAAGGGTTGGTGCACTCACTACCCCATCCGTACCATCAGCTCATTGGCACATGTGCAATTTTATAAAAAAATCCTAAAACACATTTTTCCTCCTTAAAAATAGTAAGCATACTAAACTATAATGTGTTAAAGGCTAATAATCCATTTCCTGAGAATATAAAATGCATTAAAATCCTTCCTTTTATCAGTCCACTCTGCCCGATCTGCACCGGAAGTTGGATCCTACGCTACTTCCGGGAGCTAACTTTCTCCAGTTTGGATTTAAATATAAATCTATTATTTTTGAGTTTTTTTTTTTCCTTTTGTGTTAACCGTATGGTATAAAGTGTGCAATCTAAAGAAAGAAACAACTTAAATGCAGACTGCTCTGAGCTTGTTCGATGATGACTTCACACAAGTAACGGAGAAAATGTTGAAAGCATCAAATCGTCCCAGAAAAGTCATAAAACATTTTTTTAAAGTTGTTTATTAGCATTATTTGGTGAATTAAGGATAGAAATAAGTCATTTTAGTACCAGAATTAGATTATTTATGGCCCCCGCATGTATATGTGGATGTGCATACGTAAATGAGCTGATGGAACGGATTAGCAGCACATGTAGCAGTCGGGCTAACTTTCTATCCTGCTGTTTCTGCTGCTTTGAGATGCCTGAGAAAGTTCCAGATGGACAGAGGTTTGTTCATCAAGATTAGGCTCTGCCCCTTCTCCATCTGTTGCTATAGAGTAAATTAAAAAAGGAGCAGAACCCAAATAGAAATATTTGGAAACTGATTTTGAATTAGTCAGCTTTTATTCTTAAGTATAACTTAAACCATTTAGCATTAATAATCATTTAACTACATTAAAACATAAAAATGGGTTTATTTTAGCCACAAATGCACCAATGTATCCCTTTACAGGCAATATTTTCATTCCTTCAAACCAGGAACATCTGAGGACGGCATGAGCTGCAGCTTCTTTGATGGAAAAAGTTTCTTAGATGCAAAGAAAAAGGAATAGATTGCATGTTTTTCAAAGAGCTTTGAAGTCTATGCAGACCTAAGATGGTCTTCACTTTAATTCAGTCTGATTGTTTTCTTTTTGACCTGCTGATCACCAATCAGAGCCATTATTTGGCCCGTTCTCTAATTAAAGGTAAAACATTAATATGTGATGTTTATTCTGTAATAAGAAAAGTCTCAAAAGAGCCAACAAGTGACTTTAAATGATCAAAGAATTTATCTTTTAGATGGATTAAAGTCTTTTATAACAGAGTGAGATTATTTTATTTTTAGCCAGGTCATCCTTCATCATAATGAGTCCAGATGTTAGTATAACCTGCTAGGATTTATCACAATCTATCAATTGCCGTTTTAATATATATTTGAAATGTTATTCTAATTATCTCTTCACCTTTAAAGGTTTGTTTTTCATTCTGAAACTCCAGTTAAACTCTGATGCTGTCAGTCACTGTTGCCTCAAACTAAATTACGACCACAGCTGCTGCTCCTGACGCGATAATCCGCCCACCAGAGGAGACGGTTCAAATTAAGAAGTGAAATATGAAACCGCCTCTGAAACACCTGCCAGGGCTCAGACTCCTGCAGCACAACTCACTGAGCAGAATGACGACGCAGAGCAGAATGGCCACCAGGGCGCCGGTGCTGAGCCCCGCCCTCGCCGTCAGCGCTTCGGGGTTGCACAGCTTCATGTTGCCCTCGCGGTCGCAGGTGCACACCCTGATGGTGAGCGTGTTGGTGCTGCTCTGCTCCGGGAACTCTCCGTCCGTGATCACCACGGGAACGTGGTAGATGCTCTTCTGGAGGCTGTTGTAGCTGTTCCTCCGGGTTAGGATCCAGGCGGTGTTATCTGGGAAAGATTCAGGGCATCACTAATAAAGCATTCACCTCCTAAAAAGTATTCACACCCTTGAGTTTATTCAAGGATGTGAAAAACATTCCAGCTAAACCAAATGTTTTTCTTTCTTATTCTGTCATTTAAACTCCCAATTAAAATGCACTAAAGTTTGTGCTGATGTGAGTCTTCACCCCCCGCATTGAATAACATGTTTGTACCTTTGTTGTCACGAACAGAGAAGTTTGCCTTGCCGTTGGCCTCTGGGGCCAGACTGAAGACGAAGCGATGGCCTCCGAGCGGCTCGTCGGGGTCCGTCGCGCTCACGGTCTGAATCCTCTGGAAAGATGGAGGCAAAAAAAAATAAAATCTGACGTTATTTTTTTGATCTCAGAGTAAGAAGTACTGAACAGTGAAATGTAAACACACAGACATTTATATTTTAACGTGACGTTTTGGGGTCAAAGTTCACATCTACAACCAGATCCGACCCACTAAACCTCAAAATCACCTAACAGGAAACAATCACTGCCATCAATCAGTGTTATTAAGCCATTTCTGAAGCTTTGGGAACAAGAGGAGCATTAAAATTACTCCAGGACTGCGTGATTGTCTCATCCAGGAGGTCACCTGACCTCTATTCATTTCTGCATGTAATAGTTTATCTTTTACTACACTGTTAAATGAGTAAAAAATAACATTTTTTTACTGCAGTTTCCTGATCAGTCACACTTCAAAAGTCTCCCTAGTTTGAAGGAAGTTTCTTCCTCCAGCTGCATTAAATAAGGCCTTCGTTTATCTGCGGGACAATCCTTCATCCAACTACGTCTGAAATAAAACCCTGAAAAGTGGCCCAGCCTGCTCTCTCATCTGACGTATTTATACATTATCTCCTTATTTACAAGGCCAGGTTGTCATGTGTCCCTTTTTAACATGCACAAATCATAAAATAACACAGCAGTGGGACATAAATTCTGTAGATTAATGCCACCTTCACTGACTATAAGCGGAAACAAAGATTTTTAAAGAAGCGAAGGAAATGGACAGCACAGGTGACCTCCTGATGTTTAGCTTATTTATTATAGAACAAAACGCTGTCGCATAAGGTAATAATGCTGTTAAACTATTTTATCTTTATCACATTGTCTGTGCCTCTAATTAGATGGCTTTAGTCAATCTTCTGATTATTGGCACGTTTCTGTCAACATCAGCTGCTGCTGTTTATTGAGATTAAAAGGACGAGTTTGGTCACTGGGGATTCATGAAAACAAGTGAAGGGCAGAAAGAAAATGAACAGTCCTTCTGATCGTAAACATAGAACAAGCTGACCATAATAAATGAACACATTGCACTGCCTAAGCCACTTTATGCTTGTGTTTTTATTATTCTCCAGCTGTTTCTAATGGGGTTTTGCTACAGATGGTCTTTAAAGTCGTACGGAAGCGGCTGCTCCAACCGCTGCCCGACTTTACACGCGTGAATAAAGTGAATATGATTGGTCATTTATCAAGGGGGCGGGACTGTTGTGGCCGAAGGTTCACAAGCATTTTGGTTGTGGTCTAAGCGAGCAAAAACAAAAAAAATCAAAAAAGGAAATTCACCCCCTAATGCTAGGCTAACACTCTTACTAACAGGCAACTTCCAGCCAGGGGGACAATACAATGCTATTCTTTTTTTAATTTTTAGTTCTTTCCATACTTTACTTTACTAAACATTTAGAAAAAGAAACAGAACAAAACAAGGTTGGTCAAGTAGTTTTATTATTACTGTACATCACTTTTCCTCACTATAGATTAGCTGCAGACATTACAGCTAATACAACTTAAAGGTATAGAGGACGATCTTTTATTTCCAGGTGGATCATCTAAATAAATGGTCCTCCTAATTGTCAATCATTCTGGTGATGTTTGCGTAAGGCCGTCCTACGTGCTTGTCTCGTTAGCTATCTTTTTCTGCGCATGCGTATTTTCGGACATATATCTGTGGTGAGCTACGGTTTCAGCCAGTCATCGAAGCTCAACTTTCTCTCCGCGGTTCTTTGAAAATGGCCGAGGGTCGTAAGAGAAAAAGTGTCTACGAAGTGTATGAGAAGAAAAGAAAGGCCTCAGAAGAGGCAGATATATCCCAGAATGCTTTGCGCAGAGAGCTCTCCTCACAAAGCATTATGGGATTCGCTGTCACAGCGGCTCGCTGTCACCATAGTCTGTCGCTACCCGACAGCGGAAACCAATAACACAGGTACCGTCCAGTGGAGGAGGAATTATGTGACCAATGGAGCAAAAAGCAGTGATCCTCTGTCAGAGAGGTCAGTTAACAGTTCACTATAAAGTCCACTATATAGTCCCTGCTCTATATAGTGATTGAAGGATTTAGTGGTTAGAGCGGACATTTGGCCACGGTAAGCTTTAAGCGACGAGAACAGCACCTTTTAAACAGAGCGTGCTCAACCACATTCGTTTCTGTGACGAATGACGTCATACAGAAAATCTAACTGCGGCTGTCTGGGGGACAGTGATTCAAACCACAAAGAACAAATTATGATCAGTTTAGTTTGTGCCTTCAACTCGTTGCCCATACGAAGACGTTACTTGGATATAACCTAACGGAATATCTTAACTCATAATGGTGAATAGAACATGATGTAATAACATAAAATCAAGGACCCAATGTGAAAAAAAATGGTGTTCCCCTTTAAGCACTAATTCTGTGGTTGTCGGCTTGGATAGTTAAAGTCATTGATTGATTTAGAAACAGCTTTCCAGAGTAGCTGTTAGCTTGTGTAGCTGTTTAACGATGTTCAGAAGTTCCTATCTTGGGTTTTTATGGAGTAGCTCTTAGCTTAAGTTACTAGTTTGTGGCTTTTTACTAACTAAGTTAATTATTTGGACCCAGTGGCTGCTGCTTTAGTAGCTACTGCAGAATCCTCCCACTTCCATTTACAGTGTGTTCACATCTGCCACATTTAATCCACTTTAAACAAACCAGACTCCCCCCCTCCCCTTGGTCCAACCTTTAGTTCAGACGTGAATTCCTGAAATGAAACCAGAACTGGACCAAACATTTGGACCAGGAGCTTTTCCTGCTCTGATATATATAATCCTAGAGTTATGAAATATTCTATTTGATCTACCTTTGATATCTTTATTCTATTTGAAAAGAGGAAGTTTTTTCTTTTTTTTTAATCTAGGATGTGAATAAAGCACCTAGTTCTTTCAAACACATGTGGTAGACTTGCAAATTCTCTCTGAGGCCTGCTAATTGGACACCTAATCCTAACGGTGGGGTCCGGATGAAACCATGGCGATTACCTTATGCGCTGTAATAACTGACCTGATTAGCCTTGGCGTTCTCACACACGAACGTCTCATAATTGGTGGCAAATGTTGGAGCGTTGTCGTTGACGTCCAGCACTCTGATGTATACAGGCACACGGCTTATCTGGCGTGGGTTGTCTGGGAAACACAAAGGTGGACATAGTGACTTCACACGGATAATTATTCCTTTACACGAGTGTTGGGCCGAACATGTGTGAGGCTTTGGCTGCGTTTCCTGGCAACCAGTTATATCTAAATCAAATTATGTGTATATAAATAAATAAAAGCTTGTCTGAAACAAAAAAAAACCTGCACAACAACAAATAAAAGGCTCTGCTGTTTTAATATCTTAATAGAACAATTAAAACAGAAAGTCTGCAAAGTTTTAAGACGTTTCAGACGCAATAAAGGAAAAGGAGACACATTACAAACATGGCATTTAAAATATAGACATTTTTTACGTTTAAGTTGAAATTATAGACTAATAGCTGCAATCACTGTAATTGGAAAATAGAGAACTAAAGTTTGCTCTTAATCATTTAAATGTCAGACAACTATGATTACACAAGCTACACAAACCAATACCACCTCATTTATTTATTATTTATTAAAAAATGTTCCTTCCATTTTTTCTTAGTTTTTGAAGCACAAACATCCTGTTTAATTAATTTTCCATAAAAAAATCAGCTGCCAGTAAAATAATGAATTGACTAAAGCAAAAAAGCAACAAAAAAGTTATACAGTAATATTATAATTTTGTTTTTTTTATAATTTATTTTTTTCAGCACTGTTATTTGGATTAATTCAATTAAATTGAATTCAGTTTATATATATATATATATATATAGGCACTTTACAGTTCAACCAGATCATCCATTCAAACTGATCCAAAGTTTTCTATCTAAGGTAAACCAGTTGATTGCATCGACTCATTGACTCTTCAGCAATCCCTCACACTAAGCATGCTTGTAGCGACAGTGGAGAGGAAAAGCTCCATTTTAACAGGAAGAAACCTCCAGCAGAACCAGGCTCAGTGTGACTCCAGATTTTGATTAATTTACTCCTAGCTACTTATTTTTATGTCGTATGTACCTTTGGTGGTAAACTGAACATTTTTTTGCTACAGCACAGCATCCATTAGAGCCAGTCGCTCAAGTGTGAAAGAGGAAAGCAGCCCCATATCATCATGCTGCCACCACCATGTGCCGCTTTGCTTTTATTGATTTATAAGCTGTTAGGGTTACAGTACATTTAGCAGGGTCAGCAGTGGTTCTGCTATAGAGATGACGCTCAGTCTCCGGTTCTTTCTGTATATTCATGACCTTTGACCTTAACTGAGCTAGAGATCCTGGAGGTGTTGACCTGGATTATCTATGGCCTCCTGGATGAATTTTTAACACATTTCTTCAAATTAAAGACAATTTTTTTCTTTATCTTTTCAAATACTTCAAGTTGTCAGACAGTTTTATTTTCAAGTGATGATTCCAGAGCATTGTGTGATTATTTTTTTTTTTTTGGTATGGCTTCTGGAAAATGTGATTAATCACAGTTAATTTGCGATTTATTGACCTGATCATTGAGGCCCAGGTTGGTTTGGATAACTTTTGTCATTTATTGAACAAATCTAACCAAGATTAAAAAAAAACAAGAAATCTGTAAGATGGGGAAATAATTTTCACAGAACTGTATTAGGGGCAAACAGCAGGTAACTCATTAGGGCTGAAACGATAAATCAGTTTAATCACGATTAATCGATTATAGTAATAATCCTTCAACTGATATACTAATTGATTAATCGTTAATTGGAGTACAGAGACTCTAGAACATGCCTTTCACTGACAGAGTGAAAGCAGTAATTATACCAAAATTGTAAAAAAAAAAAAAAAAAAAGTCAACATTTTGCATTTTATGAAAAAAATCAAATGTTTCATCTGTATATGCTCTATCCATAACTCCTAAAGGATAAATGTTTTAGTTTCACCTGATTTAATCTTGTAAAAAGTCTTCTTTCAAGAACCTTTAACTATCTGGTTAATAATCGATAAATCAACAGATTAACCGATTTACAAAATAATCGGCCCCATAATCAGCCCTCTATAGGTTGAAAGTCGTAGCTTAAGAACGCCATCCAGCGCTTCCCTTTAACATCTACAGGCGTCCATCACTTCCACAAAGCTGTTTGAACTCACTGAACTCCGTGGCGATGACAGAGATGTTGTGCCAGGCTTTCTCCTCTCTGTCCAGCTCCCGGAGGATGAACACCGACCCGTTCCCCGCGTGGATGTTGAACACCCGGTCCATGTCTGTGCGCCGGTCGATGGTGTACCTGCAGCAAACGCACAGAGGGAGGAGCGGCGTCTTATACCGGCGGGATTCCATCCATTGGTAGCATACCAGATCACAGGTAGAGCCAAACAACATGGAGTACAATTAACTATAGAGTTACTACAGAGTGCTACAATTCAGATTTTAAAACAAAATAGTCTCTTAGGAATTTTACATTTATAATTTGACAGATACAATTGATTCTCACTTCATAAATGTGACGTTAAGACTGAAAAAATAATGAGAAGGACTTCTGACTCAACTGCTGCCCAGCAGGCAGTCAACAATCTGAAAAAACAGTAAGGAACGATAAAAATGGCTTAAGAAGCATGCTGTTTGGAGGAAAAAAGAAAAGAAAATGCAAGGAGAGAAAGGGAGGGATTAAAAATAAGAAAAGTAAAAATAATTTTGATTCATTTTAATTTTTTGGTTTGTTTGTCGGTGTGTATTTGTATTGAATCTTGTCATTTACTTTGTTTTCTTCTATCAGCACACTTGGTGGGGATAAGGGTGGGGGGATGTAAACTACTTATGAAATTCTGTAAAGATGTGCTTCAAGCCTTTTCAAAACAAAAATAAAGTTAAAAAAAGAAGCCTACTGTTCACAGAATGCTGAATCCACGGCAATGGGAGATTTTATTGGTGCACAAAGATGCAGAAAAAGGAAATAAAGCACAGCTTTAGTAGGAAGGCGTAGATTTGGGGAGGATAGAACTTCAGCCTAGTCTCCATCCTATGGTAAACTTATGCATTAATTTATACAAAATAGCATTAACCGTATATTAAAAGCAGATAATTCACAGCAGATGGATTTTCCTTCAATTAGTCTCATATTTCTATTTTTTTAGATTGGCCTATTTTTCTTAGAAACATTTTTTTTTATTATCCATGAGCAATAATCATCAAATTTCCAGTATTAAAAGCTAAACTAAACAGACAACTTTCAGTATTTCAAATTAACTCTTAACAGTTGTGTTCTAATTGAACTACTTGCTGTTGCATATTAAATATAATCCATCAGAAAACATTGAATTAGACTTAGGCTAAATAACTGAGAAACCTAATTTAATATCCCCCCATGGATGTTGGAAAGAACTAATATTGTTGAACAACATGGCTCCATGATATTTATAACAGCGATTTCCATGTTAAAGTTTCCTCCACTCACTGCAGGCGTGGATCAGATGCTTGAGGTCGAGATGCTTAAGCTACTCAGATTATGATGATGGAAATGAGACAAATAGAAATGATGAAAATAACCAGATTAAACACATGGGAACAATTGAAACTACACATTAAACAGTTTTCTGCAAGTACTTCAAAAAACAAGCTGACTGGTTCATCCCTGTCCATTTGCTGCCTGAAACTATGTGTTTAAAGATTCCAAAAAAAGTTAGAAAAAAACAATCCAGTGGACGTTGTTTCCAATTTGAAGACGTTTCGCTTCCCATCCTGGAAGCTTTTTCAATTCAATCCTAAAACAGAGAGGGTGAACTCAGATTTCAGCTTTCAAAAACCTACAATACAGCAATAGAGTTTATCTGTTTCCCACTATCAACACAACCCCTTTACAGGGGAACAGAAGACCTCGCCTATTCATCTAGGCCAACAATTTCCTTTAACGACCCCCCTTTCAGTTGAATTTGCATGTTTTCTAACAAAAACAAGGCTTTGTTGGGCCACTTTATAAAGCCTAAAACTCAACCCTATTTCTGACATTTTTAATTGGAATAAGCTTCCTGGATGGGAAGCAAAACATCTTCAAACTTGGAAATAAAGTCCACTGGATTGTTTTAACTTTTTTGGAATGACTATGACCTGGATGACTGAGAACCTTCACCAGCATTGCTTTAATCCCGGGGTCTTCATTGTTTTCCAGGCGAAGGACCCCTAAACCAATGGCGTGATGGAGCGGGGATCCTCTAAATATATATATTGTAAAAAACGGTATTATATCAAACTGGTCCTATAGTCTAACTATTACAGATGCAGTAATGTAACTAAAGAAATTTCTCTCTGGGATTATTAAAGTATTTCTGATTCCTGGGACAGGTGTTGTGAATGAAACGGTGTCCAGTTTGAAAGAGCTCCTGTGTGTCTCTGAATGTGTGCATCGATGACTGAAAGACATCTTCTGCCTCCATTTATCTGTTTAATTCAGTGTGTTTAATTCATGTTAATGTGGATTTTAAGACATTTCATTAGTGGAAAAAATTGCAGGGGGGAATATAAAAAAAAGTCTAATCAACCGAAACTTTTATGACCCCTTTGCAGTACCTCTGTGGACCCCCTGTTGAAGACCTCCACTTTAAGTTCAGGCAGTTGGCGACACTCAACTGTTCTTCTTTTAAGAGAAATTCATCTTTTTTTGCATTAGAGCTTAACTTCTATCACCAATTTAAGCTGTTCATCTTCATTACAAAAAGGTTTTTCTCAGCTCCGCACCTTCAGGCCTGAACCCTTCAGCGCATTAACCTGGAAGTTAGACCATAAACACATCAAGTTAAAGCGAAGAGAATCTGTTGATGTAGTTGTTTCTGCAGGTCGGAATGCTCTGCCCCGTGGTGAGGAGCCGACTCCTCGCACAAACACACCAAAGAGACAACAGTTGTGTTGTTTTCTCTGCTTCCCAGACCTCTGCCATGCATCAGTGTGATTAATGGAGTAGCAGGCATCACGAGGGCCAGAGTAAGCGGCAGGAGACCCCCGAGGGGAGACTATGAACCGGGCTCTGAACGCATCGCTGCTCCGCTCTCCTCTTTCCACAGATTTGTTTTTTCCACCCCACCAGCCCCCCCTCCTCTCACACCGACTGCTTCCTCTTCCTCTCAGCCCAGACTCAAACCATAACCTCGTTAAAACTGTGTCACACTCAAGCTCTGCTAATTGCTTTTCTAAGAATCGCAGTAATTCAACTGGCTGGGTCAGAGCCTGACAGTGAGATAGCGACGGTGGCTCGGCCCGATCGGGGATCCAAAGTGCTGCTGTAAGCAGGCCGGCAGCTGGATGGATGGATGGAAGGATGCGCAGGGTCAGGAGGACGCTGCTGATCAGCTAATTCCTGCTTCAGAGGATGAGAACGGCCGTAATCCGTGTGAATCACAGCACACTCGACCTCATCTGTGCATGATGGCTTTTATTCCCACATCCTCTCTGATTATTTGCTCCTCCTTCAGTCTAATTTAATCTTAACGCATTTATCTCTATACCTGACCAACAAAGCCTTAAAGTCGCACTTCCTACATGTCTGCACGACAAAACTAGAGACTTAAACAACTTTAAAATCACACTTAGTGTCAGAGCATCTATGTTAATTAGTCCAAACGTGACCATGGATGAAAGTTTTGCATCGTTCTCTGTTTTCATTCCTTTCGGTGATTTAGCTGATAAACAGGTGCGACCAACCAGGGATCTCTGAGGTTTTTGTTTATAACACAGACAGCAACGCGCTAACTCAGGCTAATTTAGCAAAAATGCTCTTTTTCTTCTAGAAGACTCTGATATATCACCTTTGACTGGGTTGTTAAGAATAAACAGAGAATTGATTGGTGCAAAAAAAAAAGCTTAGCCTGCCAGGTGTGTGTAGGTGCATAAAAGTCTCCATAAACAAGCTAAGATGGTAATGGGAGAGGAAAGTGCTGATACCATCAACGAAGGGATAAAAAACAAAGCTGCTGCACGTTTTCTCCAGCACAGCTTTTTTTCCCAGGTGCAACAATAACAACCGAGGAATCTGTACCAATGGCGGATGGAACCCTTAGAGCCAGGCATGATGTCAAAACTCTGCAGTGAAATGTGATACTAAACACACAAATGGAAAAAATTACATAGTAAATAATGTATAAGTTAAAAAGGAATAAACTAAAACCAAATATCAGCTGTTTAGAAACAGGTAGGTGGGTTTCCTGCTACAACCTGAAGAGAGGAAATAAACTTGGAGGCAGTTAGATAGAAATGAGGACTAAATTTTGGTTCACAGGGTTGATTAATGTTGAATGTTGTAGGAAACCATTTTTGGACTGTGGGAGGAAGTCGGTGTATGTACCAGAGCTGCTCGGGGCCCCGCCCCTTCTTATGATGTCAACATATGGCAACTCCACTCGGACAAACTGTATTGAACCCGTTTCTTAAGGATCAAATGTTGGAGTCGATTCTTTTGCTATTATTTTACATTTCATCGGTCTAAAGTTGTGGAAAGTACAAAATTATAGTCAGTCTTGAAGGAAAGTACTCCGTTTTAAGACTGAGTTCTGACTTTTAACAAAGTGACAAAAAGTCTCAGTTTATTTTTATTCTTTTTGTTAAGATCTTAGCTGAGGGAGGACAAATGAAACATCTTAAAAAAAATGACTTTTGTAGAGATTTTAGATAAATAAAACAGTTATTCTACATGTAGGCAATGAATGGTTGTTGTTGACGCAAAGTTAAAAGTAGTGTAGCTTAATGTGGCTAACTGACCAAGCTAGGCTAACCTGTTAGCTACCGAGCACAGCTACTTTGTTCACCATAAACAGATTTTTCCGTTTTGTTATCAATCAGGTAAAACTTCATCGGTCATTAGACACGCTAACGCTACAGATGCTATCGACATGGCACACTGACGCAGCGTGATGTTATTATCGTTGTCTGGGCAACCACAATGTTTTACATCATGTGGCGACGTTCAGCCAATCATTTAGCGTAACGTCATCGGCTGAGTAGGTCTGGTACCTACACCGGAGTACCTGGAGAGAACCACGCACGCACAGGGAGACATGCAAACTTCAAGCAAAAAAAACCCCGGGCTGGGAATCGAACTCGGAACCTTCTTGATGCAAGGCAAAAGTGCTACCCACTGCGACACTGTATCCATCCGACCGTAGAAAACCAAAACCAAAAAAAGATAAAGTGTTCCTTTAAACACTGTTGTTCTGTATCCTCCAAGCATTAAAATTCCAAAGCTGTGCCAAAAGTAAAAGAAAAACAAAGTTGTAAAAATGCATTCCCTTTGACATTGTGTAA